ATACATGTTAACTGTATATATATATATATAGCTTCGACATATTATTTACAGCTGATATAGCAAAGCTTGTTGAGAAATAGTTCGCTTAATTCTACGCAGTAGGGTTTGTTTGGAACCCCTTTAAATATGAAAAATGAAAACAAGCATTTTTTTTTTCTTTTTTACTATCTTATTTTATTTTATAACCGTCGTTGAGCAGCCGACTCAATTTTTTTGGTTTACGACTACTGATGTTTAACTCTGTAGCATTGTAATTTTGAGCCCAATCCAGAAGACAATGAAAATCCTGGATCAAGTATAGGGAAAAATTTTGCTTCCTGGAGATCTTTTTGATGGAGCTAAGCCACGCTTGAGTTACTGGGAGAAGAAAACCACGGAAACCTCCAACGGCTAGCCTGACGTCAAAGGAACTACTTTGGATATTTCTACCACTTAGGATATTTTACAACAGACTGTTGTCGGCTCAAACCGGATGCGGAATTCGTATCGATCTGTCAGCCCTGGGATTCTAACCCAGTTCATCTTCTTGGAAGTCGAATGATCTATTCTCTGACCCACCAGTATCAATTTAACTAGCTATTCTAATATGTGATAATTTTTATGCAGAATTCATATTTATTAATGAGTCATGAATGTACTGAATGTTAAACACTGAGAAAAGATAAATATGGTTAAAACTGCCTTAAGTTAAAATGTACCAAGTTTCCGGCTCAATGAGAGTTCCAAAAGCTCGGTTGTTCTTATCGAAGCTCATTGATAACGATTTTGGAAAAATTTACAATTGAAAATGGCATTATAATACGTGATAAAATTTGGTAAATGTGGTAAAATTCGACAACTTTATCATGATATCTTAGAGCATGCCAAGAAAAACAATTTAATCAGTTAAATTTACTTTTCAGCTTTGTATTTTTTTACTAAATATGCTGTAGTAAGGACTATAATTTTGAAAACCAGAATTTCCGTTTAGCATTTATCTCTCTATCCATATGAACGGAAAATTTGTCAAATTAATGGTTTAGGTATCGTATATTCTGGTTTTATTCAGCGAAGTTATATTTTTTTATTGAAATTGTCACTACTGTACTGTAACGAAATTTAACAAAAAATAAACTTTCCTATTATAGAATGCATAATTAAAGTTCTCAAAATAATTGCACACAAGTCCCAATTAAAAAATAGATATTAGAGTTCACAAAAGGATCATGAATCATATTTTAAATCTCTCAATTCACATAAATTTCATTTATTTGCTATAAAGATTTGCTCCTCCTAAAAAGTTTGAAACAGAATTCTTAATTTTAGGAAAATCACAAAATAATTATAACCATACCATATCAATTGATTAAAAAAGCTTGTGTGAAAGTGCCAATAAGTTCAAACTCATAAGAAAATAATATCTGTGTATTGCACACCTATTACAAAATAGATAATTATAAAATTTTCTTTAGATCTTATTCTTTAATAAGATCTCTCTATCCCTCATGGTCTTCATACATTTCTATGTCATTTCATTATGAACGATGTTTCTCATGAAAAAAACATTTCTTTCCAGTTCCCCCTGTAATAGATCCTCACTATTTTCGCGAAAGTATCACCGCAGATGAAGAAACGAGAAACAAATTGATGTGCGTTGTTATCCAGGGTGACCCACCCATGAGATTTCATTGGTTAAAAAATGGTCAGACGTTTCTTGCGCATGGTGACACCACGGTGCAAACTTTCGAGGATACGTCGATTGTGACTTTCAAAAAAGTTGTTTCAAGTGACAGAGGGCAGTATACATGCGTTGCCACAAATGTCGCTTCCTCAACCAACAGAACAATGCAACTTATTGTGAATGGTAAGTTAGTCATATAAATGGCTGATGACAATTTAACGATTCGTTCAAGATAGTGTATATGGAAAAATATAATCATAAAATAAATTAAAATTAAAAATAAAATAACATAAATAAAATTTTTAAAAAAAGCATTGCAATTTTCATGTAGGCAAAAATAATTTTATATGTATGGTGCTGGAAAATTTATTAATTTGCTGGTGGAAAATTTATTAATTTGCATTTTTTTTTCTTTTTCTCAAAACAATACATGTTAACTGTCTTTCAGGTAGCAAGCAAACTTTATATTTACGATTTCTTTTGATTGACCCTGAAATGCTGAAGTTATTTCTACAAAGTTGAAAACTATAAATATTAGTGGAACCAATATATCTATTTTTTTAACAGATTGAGCAAAAACACGCGCACACCTCGGCGAAAAAATATAATTTCTTTAGCTTTTATTTAAAACCATGTCTTTGAACTCTTTTTTTATATATATACCGTGATGTTCTCAACAGTAACATTTTCAGTGATGAGAATTCATTAATCAGATGGGCAAAACTTATTGTTTGTTAATTATTCTTTAAACCATTTCATGATTTTATTTTTCTAATATAACCGTCGTCAATTTTTTTGCATTCACAACCATTAATTATCAACTCCTTAGCCTTGTAATTTTAAACACAATCCAGAAGACATGGAAACTCCTAAGGGAAGTTTGATCATTTTTTAATGAAAAAATGCAATGCTAAATCATTATTTTTATTGAAAAATTTATTTATTTCTGGAAAATTCATTTATGTAATTTTTGTATTGTGACGAATAAAATTTACAATTATTAAATCAATAAAATTTACATTTGACCATTTAAATTAAATCAATTAAATTTTTCAGTTTGATGCTTGATTCGCATCACATTATTCATTCTACTTATTCTTTAAAGTATTTAACTTAAAATATGATCTACTAATATTTCTAAGATGGAGCATTATTGACTGCATATTGGTATTCACATTATTGAGGACAGAAAACTAAACAGAATATTAATTTTTGATATCATAATAGTAATAAAAAAATCAATAAATGTAAAAATTGATTTGTATCACATTACAGATATTTAAAGTAGCCCAAAATTATCTAAAACATTATCATTATATGAAACTAATGTTTGTAACTGATCTATGTTCAAATGTTCATCTTTTTGAAAGTTAAAATAGAAAACTGAGCATCAAGCTTGATACTAGCAAATGATTTTTCTGTATTTGTAGTCCTTCTCAAAATATATGGTGTCATTGTTTCATCTGAGACACATAGCGTACCTACTTTGATTCATGGGAAGCTTTTCATCCTTACATTTGGTTTAAATGAAATGTATTTAATGTATGGAGCTTATCAAGTGGAGAAAATTGTTGAAGGGTTTTTTATTTGAGAGTCCATAGAAAATACTTTTAATTTCAATTTTTCCAAAGCAATAATACTACCGGGACTCTGGGTGGCAGTGCTTTTTACCGTAAAAACTATTTTCACTGTAAAATTTTACAGAACAAACGTCTGATGTACCGTAATTTTCACAGTATTGTTTACTGAATCACGGTAATTAAATAAATATTACTGCATAATTTACATTATAACTTTTACATTAAAATAGATTTTACGGTAAAATGTTTCTATACTAAGGGTGCCAGTATTTTTTACCGTAAAAATCATTTCTACATTAAAATTTTACAGAACAAAAGTCTGATTCACTATATTATTAATTACCCTTTAAATTTTATGTTGAAAAAAACATTTTGTTGTAAAATATACCTGTACTAAGGATGCAAGTAGTTCTAACAGCAGTTTTATCAAGTATTTTTTACAATGTGATTTCAAATTAACCCCATTTTAATGCTAAAGGTTGATTAAAACTCCTTTTTAGCATTCTCTTAGAGATGTCTTTAGAGAGCTCTACTCGGAGAGAGCTTTCAATCTTCTCATAGAGAGCTCTACTCGGAGAGAGCTTTCCTTTTTCTCTTAGAGAGCTCTACTCAGAGAGTGCTGTCCTTCTTCTCTTAGAGAGCTCTACTTGGAGAGTGCTGTCCTTCGTCTCTTAGAGAGCTCTTCTCGGAGAGAGCTTTCCTTCTTGTTTTAGAGAGCACTCTAGAGAGCTCTATTCGGAAAGAGCTTTCCTTCGTATTTTAGAGAGCTCTTAGCTCCTTAGCAATTCTCTTATTTTCATTTCTCATATCTTCTTACGTAATTTTAAGAATTTTAGAATTTTCATCTAATGCATTTCATAATAATATGCAATTCATGTTAGTATTGTCCTAATTTAAAATATTTTTCAAATTTCGCCTTGTTTAATTTGTCTTATTTTATAATTCCAGTTCCTCCACAATGGACAGTTGAACCAAGAAATGTATCAGTCGTTCTCGGTCAACGAATATGGATTGATTGCGCAGCTGTTGGATTCCCTACTCCCAGTATTATTTGGAAGAAATTACTTCAAACAGGTAAAAAATGTTTTTTTCTATCAATGCATTTTTTTCCGAGTAATTATATACAACATAAACCAAGATCATATATTGTAATGTATGCTGAAACATATTTTTTGACATCTCATTGAGGCGTATTGAAAAAAAAGTAAGCGATTATTTTTCAAAATATTTTTATTTGCCATTGCACCATTTTTTATATTGTTTTAAATTTACAAATATTCCACTACAATCTTAAAGGAAAAAAAAAATTTTTTAAAAAAAAACGTTGTTTCTAATTTTTCATATAACTGAAAATCAAAAGATTCAACATTCTCTTAAATAATTCATAAAGCCTATGCCACAATTTCTTTTTTCCATCGCACTGTAAGTTTATTTAAAGCTAGCAAACAGTTTTTAAAAAAAACCCTCTTAATAAAAGATTCATTTACTGACTCACATATTTAATGCTATTTACTAATTTACATACCCATTAAAACTTATAACTAGATATATCCACATTAAGTCCTATTTTAAATATACCTTTTAAGTAATAAACGTTATTAACATATGCATAAAAATATATGCTTTCAAATTTGTTTTGCTTTGAATCATATTTTAAGATGTGTGTTTAAATTTTTTTACATGTTTCAATAGATTTCGTTTTCAAAGGAATTTTAATTTTTAGTTTTTTCGTGTTTATAATTTTATACTGCAACTAATTCTGAAGAAGAAAAATATAAACCAAATTTATACTAATTCTTATACATTGTTTTAAAAAAGAATTTCTTTAATTTTTAATTTTTAGAGTTGCTAATTAAAATAACTGAACTTAAGTGACAGCGTTTTCATAAAGATTGCACTAAAATTCTAAGTACGAGATGCATTTTTTTAAAAAAATTTGTACTTTACTTGGACAAATACAAGCTTAAAAAATATTTGTGACAGCGTTTATCTAAAAGAATGTTATGTCTGAAGTTGAATTTAAAGTAATTGAGTGCTTAAAAATTCAAATATTGCATAACGTTCATATTATTTTGACATTAAATACAATTTTCTAAGCATACTTATTCCAATGCAAATGGAAGATTTCAACAAAAATTTAGAATTAAGTGTAGTTATGCAGCGAAAAATACAATTTATTTTGAGAAACTGATTGATTTAAAAACAAAAATTATCCTAATGAGTTATCTTGTGTCATCCTAATTAAAAGGTAACTTTTCTTTTGAGTACCTGTTTTACTTCAAACTATTTTTTTAAATTCCACCGCATTGAAACATTTCAAGAGCGCTAATTCTAATTATGCAAATCTAAAATGTGTTTAAATATTTTCTTAATTTCATTTTTCAATTATTATCCGAATTTGCAGAAGGGATGGACTGAAAAAGTGTTTGAAACGGCGAGCGCACTTCTAATTTGAAACTAATTAAATTAGATACACAATCCAAATTAGATACACGAAAGTAATCTCTTCAAGTATGAGATTCAAAACTCTTCGATAGCAGAAAATGATGAAGACATTCTTGTGAACGCATATACAATTATATGCAGATATATTTATTTAAAAAAAAAAACTTTTCGTTTCCCAATAACAGATAGATAATTAAGGTACAAAATGCAAAAGCCGAGACTGTAATCCACTGAACTTTTTAAACTTAATACTACTTTGCAAAATTTAGTAATATTTTCTTCGTTTAAAAACTGGATTAAGCTCAAGTTTTTTTTTTAAACTTTTCCTTGTAATTTCAATAACGACTTGCTTTTCAAAATATTTAATTTCCAAAACCTTCTTTTCTACATAAGTTCTAATTTCCAATAACAGTTAAAATTTATTTATTTATATTACTTTTTATTTTTTCTGCTTGTTCATGTCGGTATAAAGCAATTACATTAAATGAATGAAAAAAAATATTAATGTACTCTTTTATCAATTGATAAATAAAATAAAAGTTTTGCGAAATAAACTATAAAAACCCTTACTTATTTGTAACTTTTTCAATCGATTTAGCGCTGTTTTTTTAATTTTTAAAACAGGAAATATTTTCTATTCTCATAATTCTGTTAACTTCCCAATTTTGGTTATTTCTACATTTTACAAAGGATATTTTTCCAGAATCTCAACTCGTTTTTAGTTGTTACATACATTTTTTAATTAAGGAAAAAGTAGTTTGTATAACATGCGGTAAAGAAGGTTTTAAAACAGTTGTTTTTGTGACTGTAAGAGCTGAATTATGTAAGTTAAATATTGCCTAATGATTGCACTCAAAGAAATACAAGTACATGTTTTCAATCTTTCGTGTTTATTTACATTTCTCTTGCTGCATGATTTTATTCCATGTATCAACAGTTTAATTTCTAAGAGTATAAAAGAATAGTTTTGAAAAATATCTTTTAACCAGTTAAGCCCGTTTGATGAGTATACATGCCAAACCAAATATCCATTGCTGTGTAGTTTGACGAATAAACTCATAAAGCAAATTAAAAAATTTCCTTTGACTATCAAAACGTAAAATTTCATTTCAATACAATTAAAATATTATATGAAGGTATTGTTTCCCTAATATCCCCAAAGTAACTGCTGTGTATTTTACATTGAGAGACGGAGAGGGACTCGTTTCGAGACACTAAATACATATCTATCCGTGATTTGGATTGCCAGTGTTGATTAGCGTAAACAATTTTCATGGTCAATACTAGCTCTTTAATCTACGAGGCAGAATCCTAGACATTCTTAAAATGACTACTAAAGTCCAACAATTTAACTTCAAAATCTATATTTTCATCTTTTTTGAAGTAAGGCTGCAATTAAAATGATCAAGAAATATAACTAGCGGCAAAACCCTTTTTATAGCGGCGTTTTTATATGGAGTGAAAGAAATGCTGATTGCTTTTAATTATGTTGTTGTCGTTGCTTATCACCTTGGTCTAGAGCTCCAGACCAAGTCCAGAAGATCATGTCGCATCAGGAAGTCCTAGGCATAATTACTTTTAATTATAGATTATCCATTATTATTCATGGATATGATATAGTCCTACATCTATGTCCTACAACAGTTAAAAAAGTTTTTGGTATTAAGTGTTTTTTAATATATATAATCGGACCATTTGTCCTCTGTTCGAATTACATACACGTTATTGTTCTATTTGACCCTGTGAGGGCTTTCTAATATTGAATTGTGAACAGCAATGTTTTAAAATGTATTACAAGTTTTTAAATAAATCATTTAATTATTATTAATGTTCTTAAATTATTAATTATATGATTTATCATTGTATGAATCGAAAAGAGGATTGATTTTTGCACAAAAGTTATAAAGCGAATGTCAATTCAGTTCTGCTCTTTTGGAGAACATCAAATTCATTGATTTACCGTCACATTGTAGAATCACAACTAACTGAAAATACGGCGTGAGTTCTATAATTTATTTCAAAACTTATTACACAAATCCATAAATTATGAAATAAGGAATTTTAAAAAATATCTCCTTTAAAAAGAAAAATCAGAGAGAAAAAATATAGATTGTGCTTATCTCGATGAAGATATCTAGCAATAACTTGAGACATTTAAAGAAAATCTGCTCTGAGCTCTGTTTTGCTACAATATGCTAGTTACGTTGCAATATAAGAAACTTTGCTTGAAAAAAAGTTCCTATTGTGTTTATTCATTGCCCTGCAACTTCATATTGGCAAACGTTCTGCTTCACTTTCATAGATAGAGTTTCATTTCGAAAATGTTTATTTTACAACTAAAGAAATGTAAATAAAATAATAAAATAACGACTACAATGATATGAAAATATGGGAGCATATCAATAATGAAATTCAATTTTTAATTAGATCCTCGAGATTTAAATCCTGTTCTATTTACAGATAGCAGTACGGGAGATTTTACCTATGTCCATTCTAACCCAAGAGCACATCGATTTAACAATGGAACGCTTGTGCTATCTGACGTGGAAGAAAATGATGGTGGATCCTATTTATGCCAAGCAAGTAACGGCATAGCAGCTGGATTGAGTAAAATCATCACACTTACTGTCCTAGGTTAGGAATTTTCCATTGTCTGAAACAATTTAAAATATGATTATTTTTCAACAACTAACAATATGTAGTTTATAAACTACTAAAAAATAAAGTGTTTTTGAGGTTATTTTGCGGTTCACAGTTGTAAGAAATACACCTTAAATAGAAACTGAGATTATGTTTTGCACCAAAATAACCTCATTAATAAACTCAATTTCAACCTCATTTACACCTCACGAAATTAACCTCAGATATAACTCAGAAATAATGTTAGTTTAGATCGGGAGAAATTATTCATACCTCCTAGATATACGTATTTGCTTGAAGTGCAGAAAAAATCATCCGTACACCTCAAAAACAATCTCCCTAAGCTGGTTGCTCTAAAGTAGGTTTCAATCAACCTCAAAACAACCTCAAGTGTGAATAAAACGTATATAGTTCATAAACTACCCTTACCAAAATAAGGCATTTTTGAGGTCATTTTGCGGTTCACAGTTGTAAAAAATAAACCTTTTGTCAAAAAAGAGGTTATGTTTTGCACCAAAACTAACCTAAGAAATAAACTCAATTTCAACCTCATTTACACCTCACAAAATTAACCTCAGATATAACTCAGAAATAATGTTAGTTCTGGTCGGCTGAAATTATTCATACCTCATATCTATGTATTTGCTTGAAGTGTAGAAAAAATCATCCGTACACCTCAAAAACAACGTCCCTAAGCTGGTTGCTCTAAAGTAGAGTTCCACCAACCTCAAGTGTGAATAAAACAGCTTTACACCTTGGGAGGTTGATGTTTTCACGTTGTTTCTGAAATCAATTTCGAATACACCTCAAATCAACCTTGACACCCCGAAACAACCTCATATAAACCTCAAAAATACCTTACATTTTTGTAAAGGTAACTATAATTTCAGTTTGCTAGAAAAACTTGATTTTTCAAAAATTTTTCCAGTTCCTCCTACCTTTAAAGAACCATTCCAGACAAAAACTGTTACCGAAGAATCTAACACCACACTTCGATGCATAGCATCAGGCCATGCTCCGATAGTGATCACTTGGCAAAAAGATAAATCTCTCATAGATATCAGTAAACGTGGAAGGTAAGTCAATTTTAATTTTTTTACCTTTAGCTATAGTGTATGATTTTGAGCTATAATGTAGCTAGGAGACGTCATCGTCTGTTTGAAACATTTAACAATGCTAACATTAAACACCACCTGTTTGGTTTGTTGTGGTCACCAACTATTTGAATAAATTTCTCTATTCTTTTCAAGTAGCTTCACAAATCGAAATATTATGCTTTTACTTGGGTTTTGTATGAGTCGTGTTACTTTTTTAAAATGAAGATCTAAATGTAGATAACATTATAATTCGCGATTCAAAATTTCAATGTTTGGGGACTAAATTTTAGGTACTCTATTGTTACACAAGCTCATCAAAGGAACAACGTCAAGTTATTAGAATAAAATAAGGCATAATATTCTAGGTTTAAACTGAAATTTTCAGTTGAAATAAAGAGCATTATTAAAACTAAGAAGCTCTAAATTATTACTTAATCTGCGCAAAACTAATAGTTTAAACTTAAACAAAAAATAGCATAGTTTGTTTGTTAATAATAACAGATCACTTTAAATTTTGTCCTTCTTGCACAATTTACAGTTCAATTTGTTAAAGTTTCTTTTTCGCTTACACGAAAAAAGTGATTTTTTTAGACCACATATAAACTTTTGAAAAGAAAATTTTTAGAATGACAGTGAAACTCTTTTAAAAGAGAAAAATGAAAATTCGTTTTATTTCCAATCTAATAAAATGCAACTATGAAAATTTCAATGCACAGAATCACTTAGAAAATAATACATTTGAAGCATTTATAGCAAAACAATGATAAGCTACAATTCTTTTGCTTATGAGTTTTCTTATCCAGGGTTAGAAAACAATATAAAAAGTCATGGTGAAAATATTTCAATCATTGTTAAAATATTCAAACATTCTTTCCCTAGAAAACAGTACGACCCATCCATATTTAAAAAATTTTATAGAAAACTTAAGAAAACAAAATGGGCAAAATTATTAAATTGGTAATTTTACTTGAATTAATGACATTTAAAATTCTCCAGGCATTCTTATTTATGATATTTTGCCGTAGTTATTTATCAAACTTGTTTCAAATATTTAAAGTGAATAAATTTGATCTGATAAAATTCTGTTTACTAGTTTTACTGTAACCAACGTAATATCATTCATTGCTTTAATGAATGTAAAACCAAATAACTTAAAGGACAAAGGCACCAAAATATATATCGTGGCAAATAATTGTTTCAAATATATAAAATAAATAAATTTGATCTGATTAAACTTAGTTTATTAGTTTTACGTAACCAACGTAATAACATTCATTGCGTTAATTTAAGTAAAACCAAATAATTTTTCAAGTAACAAAAGCATCAAAATTTTTATTGTGACAATACATGTTTCAGATATATAAATTAAATTTAAAAAATGCAAAAGCATTTAATTGGTAATTTTAGTTGAATTAATGACACTGGCAAAATGCTTCTTTCATTTTTATTTTTTATTTATCATATTTTGACATAGTTATTTATCAAACTTTTTTCAAATATTTAAAGTAAATAAATTTGATCTGATTTATCTAACAGTTACCAATGTAGTATCATTCAATGCATCAATGAATGTAAGAACAAATAACTTTACAAATAACAAAGGAATCAAAAAATATATTGTGGCAATCATCGTCTCTCAAAATTAAATTTACGAATAAGTTTTAAAACCAGCGTTCTTTAATTAATTGTATTTAATATGAGATGCTCGCAATTTTGTCGGCTGTTTAAAGCCGGGCTTAAAATAAAATGAAAAATATCCTAGAGTGTATCTCAATCTGTAAATAATAAATTAAATGCGGATCGAGAACATAAAAAAAAAATATTTAACTTAAACTATTACAAAGTATGAAACTAATTCAAAACAGCAGTTAATTATTTAATTTTTGAGCATAAAATTCATATTTTCTTAGATTTGAAACATTTTATCAAGCGAAAAAAGTAATATAAAAATATTTGTTGGAAAAGGTTGAATCATCCAAAGAACACCCTTGCTTGAAAACAAGTAAGGAACGGATAAGGTCTTTCTAGCAAATAAGAAATTCCATTAATATCATATATTTTCTCGAGTAATCCCAATAATGTTGAGTACAAATGCATTTTCTGTTTTTAAAAATAAATTTAAGCATGATAAAATTAGATAACCTTTAGTTTATCACTAAAATAGGCACCATTGTCACAATATTAGTATCATTAATTAAAAGGGCAATCTTAGGAGGTATTCTTAATTTAATTTCTGTGTAAAATTATGTATATATATATATATATATAACAAAATCTGAAAATTGACATTTTGAAAATGGTGGCCGACCGCATCACCCGTTCAGTTTAGATGACAACCTTACATTTTACATTTATCGAAATATACAGTAACTTACTATAAGTAGTTTATTCGTGTAAATTAAATGAATTTGATTTAAAGAATATTTAATATCTCACTTTATCTACAGTCCTCGGACGGTCAAATTCAATCTAGAATGATAAGGTTTATTAAGAGATCTTCTTCCTCATCATCTTGAAATTAAGGCAAAATTTTAAATTTGCATTTCCTTTTTGAGATTTTGAAATAAATGTTTTATGATAGAGTGTCATTCAATCTTTCAGAAAAGATTGATTTTATAAGAGTTGCTTTTAAATTAGGAGAAATAGTACTTGATCATTTGTACGACTTGTATAATTTTTTCTCATTAAAAAATAGTTGATTTAGGGTTTGGAGTAAGTAATTTAAAACTAAACAATTATTTGTTTCTACGTGCTTTAAAAATTTCATTTTGAATAAATTAAAACCAATTTGAATGATACTAAAAAAATTCAAACGTAAATTACTCAAAATCGAAGATGTTTATACAAAACTCTCTTTCAAAAAATCCTTTTTGTCGTTACTGGTATATTATTAGTATATGTCGTTATTAGTATAAATATTAGTTAGATTTTTTTAGAAAATCAAAAATAAAGAGAGAATCTAAAATACCAAACGTGCATCATAGTTTAAAATTATGATTGGATATCTCATTCGCGTGTTTTGACAGGTGTTATCAAATAGATGTTCACCTTAGTTTATTTAGAAAAATTAAATAAAAAGGAAAAAAATTATTTTTCCTCCCCATTTCCACTCCTTCGACAGTCGAGTTTCGTCGGAAGGAAAAGAGGCTCTTAAGANTCATTCATAATGCGAAGGTGGGTAATTAAGTTCTCTGAATATTCTGAAGGGGACGCTCGTAGCATCGAAGTAGGTTTATTTTTAGTAAGCGTCCATTCTCACTTGGCTATGATGCTTAAATTCTAACTTTAATCATCACGTTGTTTCATTATCAAGGTCAATTGATCAATATAATAATCAATATAAGGTCAAGGTCAATATAATAATAAAATTTTTACAAAGCTGATTATTACATGCTTTATTAGAAAATGCAGAGTGGTTCATAACCATCATTCATAATGCGAAGGTGGGTAATTAAGTTCTCTGAAAATTCTGAAGGGGACGCTCGTAGCATCAAAGTAGGTTTATTTTTAGCAAGCGTCCATTCTCACTCGACTATGATGCTCAAATTCCAACTTTAATCATCACGTTGTTTCATTGTCAAGGTCAATTGACGAAAAAATCTTTGGTTTATTTAGTATTAAGAATTGAGAAAAAAAAAGTATGATTAAAACTACTGAAATAAATTTTAAAAAAATTTCTGGATCAAAGGAAGCCCCAAAAATCTTAGTAAATTTAACTGATGTGCTTTGGCAGTGATTTTGGTAAAATTAACTATAAGGTAGGATTTTATAATCTGTAGTATATTTCGGTAAATGTGTAAAAAAATTTCAAGTTTCATCGTGAGCATGGTATAAGAACCATTTATGCGGCAAAATTTACTTTTCGGTATTGTATTTTTTACTAAACGATTGGAAATCAGATTTGAAAATTTCCAGTTTATAAGCAGGTCATAACTGTGTGAATGATATGTGATTTACTCTTAATCTTATGGTCCTCTACACCTCCTTTCTGCACATGTATGTCAAAGTCGATGTTTATGAATCACTGATAACGAAAATACTGCAAGAACTTAGAATGAATTTGTGCAGGTTTATGAACCATAGGCAGCGCAAAACTATGAAAGAATGGGCTCATATATTTGAACGCTTGATAACATTTCGACATTTCCATATACATATTTTTTAATTTATGAATTAAACGAAAAATCGACAGTAAATTCTCTCTTCAGTTTCCTAGGATTATTCCCTTCAAACAGGATCTGAGTTTAAATTTCAAGAGGGAATGAAGTTCATAACAAATTAAATTTTGATTCACTCACGTCATCTATTCTAAACTCTAATTAATTCCAAAAACAATGTAGGTAATGAATTGAAAACAAGCAAAATTTTATTTATTACCTGATTTTAATTTTCAATGGTTTCAAAAATATACTGATGGAAATGATAGTCCACTTTTCAAGCGTTCAAGATTAATCCCCTCTTTTCAAGACTAGCCAGACGTGAATGATTTGAAATATAAAGCTGTAAACGAAAAATGGGAAAATAAATTAGAGAAACACATCTATTAAATACCGCAGTAGCTGACAGTGAATGAAAACATATTTTTCTAGCTTTGTTTTTAATCTTTATTCGTTTGCAACTTTACGTTTTATGCTTCAAATAACTTTTGTTTTCTCTCATTCACGCCAGACAAGTCTTGAGAACGGGCGCCTACTTTTGAATGCTTGAAAACGTGTCGACTTTAATTTCTATCTGCAAATTTTAGAAGTCATTGAAGTTTTTCAATTAATTAATATCATACAGCTTTAATTTCTTTGGACAATTTGTTTAGAATGCAATGTGGCCCATTCAGTGCCAAGTCTCCCATTTTTGAACGTTTAATTAAAAATTTATTTTCTTCACAAGTAATTAAGAAAATTACTAGTGAAGCACATATTTATTTTTTTCATTGGATTGGATTTTGAAAATACCTATTCGTGTTAGATTTAGTTTAAAATTGCTT